CTCCCTCCTCCCTCCTCCTCTCCCTTCTCCTCCTTCCCTACCCTTCCCTCCTCCCTCCTCCCTCCTCCCTCCTCCCTCCTCCCTCCTAAGTCCGGTTAAACAGGTAGCAGATCCAAGCCTGAGAAGGCTGAGATGCCCAACACACACTGCTCTCCCAGAAAGACTAAGGACACAATTATCATGCAAACCCTTTTCTAAAACGCAGAAAAAAAAGAAGAAAGGTTGAGAGCGTCAGAGAAACAAGTTGAACTTTTCTCAAATGAGAGGCAGAAGTAAACTTACAGTATGTTTCGGATTCGAACTACCTTCTTCCCCCGAATACAACGTACGGTCATTATAGCTGTATTTGGGGCATCTTTCAGTGTAAATACAGCTATAATGACCGTACGTTGTATTCGGGGGAAGAAGGTAGTACCCTTCTTCTTCGATTCATGAACTAATGCTTAACTGTAGTTATTAACCACAGTGACTGCAGATGTCATTGCGTTTACTCATGTGAATGGCAGCAGAATGAAAATAAAATTCGATTTGAGGATTGTGCACGACTCTCTCTCTCTCTCTCTCTCTCTCTCTCTCTCTCTCTCTCTCTTATGTGGCCTGATGGCCCACGGTTCAGATATATGAAACTGATCAGAGCAGTTCTTACACTTGAATGAGTCAGACTTGATCTTAGCCAAAAGGTGGAGAAAGGAATTGTGTCCGAATCTCTCGTTGCCGTGGCTGACATATTTGCTAGTATTGCTACTGCTTTTGTTCTGTCATGTCATATCATGCCTCCCTGGCATGCCGTTTTTCATGTCAGCGTCATGTCATGTCATGTCGTTGCTCATGCCTTGTTGTGCCACGTGTCATGATTATCATTTGACAATGTTTGCGCTACAGGCTGAGCATGGCATCTCCGATGCACATTATGAGCTCGGAAATTGCTTCCAGTCAGGGATCGGTGTGGACAAGAATGCTGAGAAAGCACGAATGCATCATCTGATTGCAGCGCAAAAGGGACATGCACTGGCATGTGGCAAATTGCCAAAGGAGTTGTGCGAGGTGCTTTTGGTATGTCAAAGAATAGCATCTGGGAAGAACGGCTGCACTCTGAATTCGTCCAGCGCAGCACGACCCACCACCCTATGGGGAGAGGATATCAACCGTGCCAGGTCATCGGGGGGTAATCGAGTGCCGAGAGCGCAGCGACGTGGCGGAGAGGTTCAGCCGAGGCGATCCAGATCGTTGGAGGCTTTGAGCCATCTCAAGGCCCAGCATGGCGAAGGATGGGGTTGTCGTCAAGCCATAGCCGATGACTGGCACTTCATCCTTCCTCGAACGCGGAGTGAAGAAGGAGGAGGAGGAGGAGGAGGAGGAGGAGGAGGAGGAGGAGGAGGTCATTCGACTCCAGTGGCACCTCGCACGCACAACGCTACTGCCGTTGGGAGGAGGACAACCACTGGTGCAAATGGTGGCGGCCTCGCGTGTACTAATACTGGTACTAACCGGGATGATAATCAAGGTGGGAATGACCATAACCACGATCATGGTCATGATGTTCTCGATCACCGAAGTAGCTGGCAGGAATCCATGGCGATGTCTCAGACAGCACTGCCAGGTGAATATCGTGCCCGTCATAGTCGGCGTCGCTCAGGACATGTGCAGGAAAGGGATGAGAAGTGGCGTGAAGATTCTCATCCTGCCAGTGGGAGCACAGTCTGGGGGGATGCTGATGTCGATCATGGGTTTGGAGGCGATGGGAACGGGGAAATGATCGGATGGCAGAGGACGTCAACGAGCAGCCTACCTGATGACTGGCAAGCAATCGTTGCCGAGATGAAGTACCGAGTTGCAGAGTCCGAAAAGAATCTTGCACGTCCTCTCAGCTCTGTTCCGGTGTCGTCGAATGGCAATCATAGCATCCGATCCATTGCAACGAGTTCTGTCCCGGTATCAAATGGAAGTCACTGTGGCGTTGTCACTACAAGTACTAGCAGAAGTAGCAGCCATAGCTGCTGCAGCAATTCAGGCGTCTGTTGCGGCAGCGGCGGTACTGGTACTAGTTGTAGTGAGGAGAAGAGCCGAAGGAAGGAGAACCCAATGGAGGACAGTCCAGATCTTGTGCGCTGTCAAAGAGGAGATTCTGAAGGCTTCCACGGTCTAGATTCCGTTCACTCTCAAGGAGACAAAGACGTCCAAGCAGAAGCAACTGCAACCACACCGACATCGAGAGTAGCAGGAAAAGAAGAAGACAAAGAAAAAGGAGAAGGAGGAGGAGGAGGGGGAGGAGGAGGAGGAGGAGGAGGAGGAGGAGGAGGAGGAGGAGGAGGAGAAGTCGCACGTGCTGAGAAGAAGAAGATTGCACAGCAGTGGCAGCCCCTTTGGACAGGGAGAACGCCGGCAGACGAGGAGAGCCTAGCCCAGGCAACAGCCTGGCTCCACAGCGCAGCAATCAATGGTGATGATTCGGCCCAAGCGTTGCTTGCGGACTGCTTCATGGAAGGAAGAGGTGTGCATCGCAACGAGCTGGAAGCCTTCTTTTGGTACAGGAAAGCGGCAGAGGCAGGCCACCCGGGGGCGCAAAATGCGCTTGGCTGGTGCTATCTCAACGGGACGGGTGCCAACGTCCATGAGAAGACGGCAATCGCCTGGTTTCGAAAAGCCATCGAGAAGGACAACTCCTCGGCTCAAAACAACCTCGGGCTGTGCTATTATGAAGGATGGGGAGTGGAGCAGAACCTGGAGATGGCGGCTACGTGGTTCCAGCGAGCGGCCGAACAAGGGAATCCTCTGGCCCAATGCAACCTGGGCCTGTGCTACTGGCATGCGCGGGGCGTGCGGCAGAATTTGGAACTGGCAGAGCAATGGCTGAGAAGATCAGCGCATCTGTCAGACTCCAGAGCTCAAAGAGAACTGGCGATACTGCTGATGGAGAAGGCTTCGGTCGTTCCCAGGCTGTCACCGAGGGCGGAGGGCGCTGAAGTTGCTGAACTGCCTTCCCTCCGCCGCCCAACCGCAAAACAGTACTGTAACAAAGTTTGACATCATCATCATCATCATCATCATCACAGACTCTGAGCTGGTCGTTCAAGGTGTGCAGGTGGACCACCTCCCTGCTCCCTCAGGCTGAGCTGTTCTAGGCAACCTCTCAGGGCCTGGAGCAATGGAGCATCGCATCAACTTCGATCAATGACATTAAATTTTTTACTTTTCTTTTCTAAGTTCGAAACTTTGCATTTGAATTTTCAAATGGATCAAATTGAAAGTGGACAACGAAAGGTTGGGACCTCAATTGATGGATTCTGACACCAATCAAGGGAGAGGAAGGAAATTTGCATCCCTCCCTGCAAGCTTGTTGTTTATATTTATATATATTTATATGTAATATATATACTATATATTGTCAACTATATATGACGATATATACTCCTGATGAGTCAGTAGGTGAAACTCGGACGAAACAGTTTGTCACAGCCCCTCGTTTGTTGTCCTCTTCTCTCTCTCTGCCTACGGTTTACCGGGCAGTTCTATTTGTGACGATATATGTATATATATATANAAAAAAAAAAAAAAAAAAAAAACCAACTTAGGCCCAAACCAACTGCCAAATTTGAGTACAATTAACGAATTTAAGCTGTGAACTGAGCTGTTGAAATGCAGACCTGAGATCCAGTTCCAATTCCAATTCCAGTCAAATCAGATGAGTGCAAAATTGCAAATAACTCCTAGGAAGATTTTCATGACCGGCCGGTCACCGGGGCGTGACGCCCGGGTGACCCGGTCATGGCCAAAAAAAAAAAAAAAAAAAAAAAAAAAAAAATTTTCCGCGCTCTCCGAGAGGAGCCCAAATCCGGGCTCTTTCCTTTTTTTGAGTGTTGGCTGTCAAGGGGGGGAAAGGGGAGTGTAAATGAATTTTAAAGGGGCTAAAGGGAGTTAAAGGGGGGTGCCTTAGTGTGATATGGTTATTTTCTTTTTTATCTTTAGTTCTGTGACGAATTCTGATGTGACCCTCAGCCAAAAAGTTGTTTGTATTGCAATTCTACACAACATATTTATTTTTCAGATTTTTTTGGATTTGATTTGATTTTTTTTATTTTTATTTTTTGCGCTGGGGCTGCCCGGGGCCATGCCCGGGGGTCATGCCCGGCCGGTCACCCAGTCACCAATCCGGGCGTGACATCAGGACCCGGGCGCCCGGGACATCTCCCTAGAATTTACCTGGGGCTGGTCAAGACCAAAAAAAAAAAAAAAAAAAAAAAAAAATCTTACTCCTATTTTTATTTTTTACTTAAGAATAGATAGCCCTGGTTCTGAATCTGGCAGAAGACTCAGAAAAAGCGTCTGAACTTTCCATGAACTTTCCCCGAAGTGCTGCCGAAGCTAAGTAATGATAGATATAGCCAGCAGGATATCGGCAAGGCCACAGACATTTCACTGATTGGAAAGTTTTGAAATAGCGGTACGCTGCAGCTTCATCGGGGGATTTCCCAGATTAGAACAAGCCTGGCTGTTTTCTTTCCCGTTTATTTTGGGTATTTTGTATTATTGTTATTTATTTGAGATGAAATCTTATCTGCGAGACGAAACTGATTGCCTAGACCAACAGATAGTACGTGGAGACAAAGACAAGTCTCTAAGTGTAAGCACAAACAATGCACCAGACCAGCAGACAGACAAACACACACACACACAGACAGGCAGACAGACAGACAGACACAGAAAGTGAGGCTGGCCAATAGATGCAGACGATGAGAGAGTCACAGGCGGATGAAGAGACTGGTAGTTTGATACATTGATTGATCGATGAACAGGTAGTAGCAACGTGTTTTCCTTTTGTTCTTTTGTTCTTTTTTTTATTTTAAATTGGCTCCTTCTGGTCTGGGGTCCGGAGAAGTACTCCGGTTCCTTTTCCACCGGCAAGTAAAAAACGAGTACAACTCAACAGAACTCTTTTCTTTTTTACCCCTTTTTGCCTTTTCTCACTTAAAGTTTCTGATTTGATGTGGAAAACTTTAAGATTCAAGTCGCTTTATAGATGTACCATGATTTTTCTTTTATGCAGAGAGCAAAGACGCATACTTGCACATCGCTTATGTTCCTCAAAAAAGAAAAAGAAGACCTTCAAGAAGAAGAAGAAGAAGAAGAAGATGCAGAAGAAAATGAAGATGAGCCAACATTGGCAACTTGACGTACTATCACTCAGTCTGACAGTTATACCTTGACTGGAATTGGAGGATGATGACAATTTCCCATTTGTCCCATTTGTCCCAATTGTCCCAAGTGTAGGACTCCGAGTGGTACACAGTGCTACACACACACACACACACACACACACACACACACACACACACACACACACACACACACACACTATGAAGGGATGGTCACTGCCAGCCTCTGTCAATAAAACTGCGACTCTTTGTCTTGTGTTCAACCCCCCCCCGCCCCCTAATCGCCTGCCCAATATGTCATCGTGGCCTTAATCTGCCATGCTTAAATAGCTGTGAATGTCAACCTGCCTTCGTGCTGACATGTCAGCAACATGCCATGTGTCAGCAATGTTTCCTCGAAGTTGTCATAGAAAGCATGTGCCTCTACTGCGTGGACTATCCACGATGCCATCATCCACCACATCCTCTCGTCGCATTTCCCACATGCAGAGTTGGGCATACAATTACTGCAAACGCCATCGGATCTCCTTCTTTCTTGCCCGACAAACAGCAAACTCAACAGCCTGAGCAGGAAAATAGAGAACCACAGGAGCCGCGAATAGAGCATTGTGCTGAAGGGGTAACACCACCAGGGCGAACTGTTGCAGAACAATGGATGACCCCCGCTTGCCACAGTCGTCATTGCCGTCAGTCCATAGAGAAGGAATCAATGCCGAGGAAACCCAAAACACTTGCTCAATGCCGTTCTGTGATGATCCACCTGAGATTCGGCTAGCATGTGCGCTGCGTGCATTGTGTCATGAGGATTATGAAGGCACAGCCCGTGCGTCTTTCTGTTTTCATAAGTACGATGACAGTCAATATTGCACTCACGTCCGGCACCCTGACATGTGATGTCCAATTTGTAGACAGGGGCTCGAACGACAATGCCTCTACAATTGCAGCCGGCCTGCCTCAGAGTTTGTGTTCCTTGCCTGTGGGAGCCATGTTGCCGGCAATATCTGTCTACGTCGTGCCATTCAGTGCAGCAACTGCAACTGCGAGAATTGGATGCGATGCTTCCACAGTCCGCACCCGAATTGGTGTTGTCCGGTCTGCTGGAGTGGTCACCTACCATAGGCAACAGCTACTCCTCATCCTACAACCCGGACACTGATTGACTTCTCGTCTCATTCTACAGTCGTCTGCTACAACGGGTATAGACTCTATAGAGAATCTATTGAACACATGTTTTCACTCTCTCTCTCTCTCTCTCTCTCTCTCTCTCTCTCTCTCTCTCTCTCTCTCTCTCTCTCTCTCTCTCTCTC